TATATTTATGTGAGCCACTTTGTTCTCTTTGTCTGACAGTAGATTAAAACACCATGTAAAGTGTAAACCATGGTTATACTCTTAGACCCCTATGTACCTCCTGAGAAGTGCAAATGTACCCCAGGTTAGGAATGTCTGTAGTAAGTAGATGTAAATTACATTTTTGTTAACCAAATCAAAACCTTTACCCAGAAATCTCAAAGTGACTAAAGCATTACTGTCCTGCAAGAATTATTCTCATGATAATAACAAGCATCCTGATAACAGACATGCAAGTCACTTTACAAAAATATTTCTCTTTAACCAACATATTCATTGTAATATTAAATATACAAGTTATCCACTTGTAAAGATGAAGTTACTGATATTCTGATTAAAATCGTGACAATTTACAACATTATATGTGAACTTACACTCATCTACATGCACAGTAAAATCCTGTTATAGCACCTTCTTATTACATTCAGGCCAAAGTTTATGTCTTGTGATTGTGAAAGTCTTTAGAATTTGCATTACATAACTTTTTCAGTCATTTTGTCTGATTTGCATAATACTTATGAGTGATGGAAAAATTAAACTCACTGTGTGTTATTGGTTTCTTCTACACCATGACCTGGGATTACTTTCCCTGCTGCTTGACTAATGGATCGATTTAGAACTCCATTAGATACCAGAGCTTCCTTTGGATGAAAATACTTGTAGTAAACAGTACGTACAACAGAATCTAAGTACAGAAAAAAGTAGTAGAACAGTTTCATTACTACTTAAAACAGGTATATGTTATTAACAAAGCAATTAGCTTGTTGTTTCGTGACTGTTTCTATAAAATTTCCATAACAACTGTTTAGTAATTGAAATCAAAGTTCCGTGAACTTTGTGCATGTATATTAATCAAATACAATTAAATATTGAAAAAAAACATTTTAATACTTAACACAGAAACAGGAAATACACATTGTTTATGGAATATTCTTATTAGAAAAACAATATCCATGTTCTTATATATCTAATATAACATAACACTGTGTAGTAGCAATTTGTCATTGGTTTCTAGTAAAATTTAATGACATTATTACAATAAACATATTTTTCTAATAGTTGGAAGTGTACAATACATTGTTTATATAATGGCTGGAGACAGCTTGAAT